CCGGGAACTTTCAAAACCTTTGTCATAAAAGAAGGTATGTTATTAAATCACTATGCATGATAGAAGTTGAGTAATTATTATTGTTGAATAAAAATAACTGTGGTTGAAGTTAAACAAATATTGTTGTTGAATGAAAATGATTTTGGTAGAGGCTGAACAATTATTTTTGTTGAATGAAAATCATTTGGGTTGAAGTTGAACAAATATTGTTGTTGAATGAAATTATTTTTGGTTGAAGTTGAACAAATATTATGTTGTTGAATGAAGAGAATTTTGGTTGAAGTTGATTGAAAATGCGTATTGTTGAATATAAATACAAAATGTTGAATATAAATATATGTTGTTGAACACAAATATAAGTTGTTGAATATGAATGTGCAAGTTGTTGAATTTTGCAACATTTGACTAACCATACCCGGATCTCTTATATCTCTTGCGAATATTAAAAGCGGCAGCGGCCCAATTCTACCGGAAGTCGCTATTGAGAGCCGATCGACCACACTAAAATCGTTTGAATTATCCCATATATCGGGAGACATGCAAAGTCGGCGATCTCCTTCAGCCATTTGAGATCAGTAATTATCATTTTTCATTCGTCCGCTAATACCGGAAAAGTTGCCAGTCCCACAGTTATACAGTCTTTCAGTCGTTTACACAGCATATCGAAAAATGGTCGACAACTGTCGTCTATGCACGTAGAACTGAAGGCGGGTGTAAAAAATACTTGTAAACGAAAAACTGAAAAACTGAATTAGTAAAAAGATATATAAATGTTTTTATATCTATCGATAATACTACGTATAGTATGATCTCCCACTGGACATCAAAGCCTGAACTTGGGTGGTCAACAGGCGATCAATTGCGTTTGTTTTGTTTAACTTAATTCCTTGGTAACCGACACTTCTCTCAAGAACGTTTCAGTCGTGCAGATAGTTTTCACAATACTTTTAAAGCTGCTGTTCCTTTACGGCCAGAAGAGTCGTGATGTGTCGAAAATCACTTTTACAGACCAAAGGATGTTTGCTTTTCATCATGATTTTCGGCTGTGTGAGTTTGTGGATCGCCAACAAAGCTTTGGAACAAAATTTCTCGAGAGGTAAAGTTCATTGTGCGTTGTACATACATATCTGTGAATTAAGGCGCGTTAAAAGCTTATCCGTGAAGCGAGCAGTGGCGTTACGTTTACCCCGCGAGAGAGATTCCTTTCTCTTTCTGCTCGGGGAGAGATCAGATAGAACCTCTGCTCGCAACCGCTCGATTTTTGCGAACCACGTTACAATGTCGTTACAATGTTTCTTGTGCTTAAGCACGAGAAACATTTACACGGAATCAAACGTGGTGAATTACTTGTACTTCGACTTTTCCGCAGTTTATTTCTTTGAGAAACTACAGAAATTTCGTAACGTTCCACGAAGTAACGAACGACAAAGAAAAAGACGAATTAAGCTTCATTCAAGACCACGCTGTCCAGCTCGCAAACTGCAGCTAGCTGGCAGCTGCAGATAAACTAACTGTTTTGGAATAATTAAAAACTATCAACCCTCACATTATGTTCCTTTGACGATATGAATAGCTTGTTAAGGTGGATTAACGTACAGCAACAGTGTCTGGGACTGTGAAACAGTAAAAGAACTTGACAGAGATGACAAGTTATTCATCGGACTAAAGTTTTGAATTTGATGAGTTCGTGCGAACCCATGTCACTGCAGTGGTGCAAAGTACAATTTTAGCGCTCAGTGACATCTTGCTATTGGATTCTTGCTCTGATCAAGTTGTCGGCTCCGAAATCTTGTACGTGAAAAAAACCCACCAACTCAACTTCGAATTAATAACTGACCTTGAAAGTAATTCAGAAAGGAAGCACCAAAAATAAATGTATTCAAACCGTGCAACGAAACAAAAGCATCGGGCATTTAAAGGAGAAGGTCACTCCAAAAAGCTTACTTTTTTTGTCTTCGCCTATAGCAAGTAAACATTCAGCTTTTCCACTTTTAAACTTCGGTGAGTTTTTAAACTTCCTCTGAAGTGCCCGCTATCCTGAAGAAATAAGGAACTTCGGAGGCCGCCATAATAAAACTGTAATGGCAGCCAGGCCGTGTTTTATGTGACATCATTCCGTCAGACTCGAAATTGGCGAGAAGGAGATAAACCTGCAACTGACTAGGCATCCTTCACAAGGTCAGCAAAATCTATTTTTTCCAAGCGATTATCCACTTTACTATCTTCAATGCTATCAGTTCGGACTTTGGAGCATGTTTTGCTCAAAATAATATGGCTTAAGAGCAGTCATATCCCAGAGTGGTGGTTAAAAGGCTCTTCGGAAGCCATTTGGAGAAATCTCTCGGACGGAATGACGACACGAAAACCTGGCTGCAGAGTACTATTCAAAATGGCGGCAACAATGTTCGAATTTTGGGCTTCTTTGGAGACGAATTTCATAAGGAAAATCTGAAGTTAAGAGGCTGAAACTTCGGTGAGTGGCTAAACTTAGTGCAAGCTTTTTATTAGCGTTGAAAAAAAATATACGTATTTTGGAGTGACCTTCTCCTTTAACCTTTTGAATTTTCAGCTGGCGAAACTTCCATCTCCCGAGCCAAAAATTGAGTTGAAACAGGGGCGTAGATAGGGGGGATCCTGGGTTGCCCGTGACCCCCCCCCCCGCTCTATGTAAGTCTTTATTAAGCAAAAAAACTACAACAGGTGACGAAATCGACATGACAATCTGGTGAATTTCCTCACTTTGACACAGTGTGACCCCCCCCTCTTTGAAAAACCTGATTACGCCCCTGTGAAACGCTTTCCTCAGGTTCAGATTAGGCGATCAAATGCCCCTATGCTACCTCGTGGAGCACACGTGCCTTACACTTCTCGTCGGAGGCTGTAAACCTGGCTGGGACGTAGACATTTCTACCAAACTTTGGTGATCTTTTTCACGCTTTAAGTTCTTTTTTTAGTGTTTTGTCGACACTTGTTACAGTTTTTAAACCCTATGTCATTAATTATTGACTTCTACAAAATCAATTTTGGACATCTGACATTTGGAACATTTAAGAAAACAATGTTGAATGAAATCTAAGTTTGCGGATCGAAAATGCCAGACTGACATTTTTTGGGCAGAAAGTTATGTCATAATTGGCACACATTTTCCTCCAGGTTTAAGGCATTCAAAATATATATTTTACAATAACTGACTGATTTCTCGTGCGCTGATTGGCTCATTTTTATCATCATTAAGAGTACAAACGGATAAAATCTTAATTAATGCAAGCTTTCAAGTTCAACTTGCAGCTGTCAAACTGACAAATTTTTAACCAATGAGATTGTATGCACTTTGTCAAGTAGCCAATCAAAAAGCGAGAAAAACCATTGAGAACGTGCGCGTTATTTTGAATAAAATTCACTTATCTTTGTCTACGGCAAGTTTACGGCGTCTTTTCCCCTCATTTATTCCCGGCGTTTGACCATTTCGGGGTCTTGTTATTGTAAAAAACAAATTGACGTCAGTTTTTTATGCGTCTGTCATCTTGTTGATCATAAATTCCGTCATAACATTGTCAAAGTTTACTGCGGAACTGCCACTTTGACAATGTTATGACGCAATTTATCATCAATAAAAGGACAGGCACATAAAAAAAGTACTGTCGTCAAATTGTTAAGTTGATTAACTTTACCACTTCGCCTACTCTTTAATCCTGTCGGTTTAATTTACTAAAATCGAGAACTCTAGTGACATTTTCTATCGTTACTACTCCTTTGCATCTGGCAAACCTTAAGGTTAAGTCCGCATACGAGCCACGTGGCCCATCAGGCCGGAGCTTATCCCGGTTTCTACAGCATGAAGCAACTAGGAGTTTGTCTACTCCTCCCTGGATCGCAGGGTTACTACCAGCATTAAAATCGCCGGTACCCATTTATACACCTTGGTGGAGAGAGGCAATGTGAGAGTAAACTATCTTGTCCAAGAACACAACACAAACACCCCGGCCAGGGCTCGAACCCAGACCGCTTGATCCGGAGACGAGTGCACTTTCCACGAGGCCCCTATTGCACTGATGAGTGTAATCTAAAATAAAATACTGTGTAATAACATCAACATAAAAGAAAACATGTCATTACAATACTAGCTAACGAATAATCATGTCTTTTTTAGCACTCTTCAAAGTCATCCCAAGATCATTTAGCTCACGTATGGCCGAAAGACGACAGCTTTTAAGGGAGCAGTGCCTTACAAAACCACCAAATCCTTCCTTCATTGAAGAAGCTGACTTCTCTCGTTTTATCGTCATTGAAAAGTTAAAGTTTGTGTTCTGTTTCATACCTAAAGTTTCCTGCACAACTTGGAAGCGCGTCCTTTACAGCGCAGAGAACAAGGGTGGACAAGTAGTTTTTAATCCTCATAATAATAGACTGTTCTCTTGGCTTAAAGATTACAATGTTACTGAGAGGAAAAAGATCTTGAAGGGTTACTACAAAGCCATGTTTGTCCGGGAGCCTTTTGAGAGATTGGCATCGGCGTACCGTGACAAAGTGAATAGGTTGTGGTTCAAACGATTTGTTATTCCCGACAAAACCACCGAAGAATTAAGGAAGGAAGCCGCGGTCCCGTTTTCAACCTTTATAAAGAGCGTTCTTTCATCTAACGCAACAACTTTGCGGAAGCGTGGATATATTGAAGATCAACACTGGCGTTCTTACGAACAGATTTGTCCATGCGAGGTAGACTACGACTTCATTGGTCACTTTGAAAATCTTGCCGAGGAAGCGCCTCAGCTGTTAAAAATAATTGGTGTGGATGATTATGTAACTTTCCCCGAATATCGCCCATCGAAGACGAAATCGCACGTATTAGAGTATTACTCCGAGCTGACGAAAGACGAAATATTTCAACTTGGACGTCTGTTTGAACTCGATTTCAAATTATTTGGATACGACTTCCCAGGCCCTTTAGAAGAAATCTGTGAGAAGAAATCTCTTACAACAGAGCTTGTGCTGTAGCTAGTGCAGTTGCCGATGCCGGGTAGGCGAACATATCTATGATCCATCTATCTTGTTTTCGAGTTTGAGCTCGGGTCCTGCGTTCGCACAGTTTTGAGATATATATGTGCATGTGTGCATGTATTGATTTTACAGCCGATGGGCTAATTCTATAATCATGGGTATCTTCTCTTGGTCTCTTGTGGGTATATGTTATGCATAAGGATCCTAGCGGCCCGCAGTTTTTCGTTTATTCCGTATATTTCATGTATTTTCTCGTCTATTTTCCACAGGTTTTACTTCAGTCTCCCGTGTGGGGATCCGTACCCGCTGCTACATCGAAACCAATTATCATGTAATGCTTGCTTACACTCTACAGCTAAGGGAACGATTTCTAAGTATATAAGGGAAATTAATTCACTTTTTCATTATCAAAAGGTCGCTGGACTCTCATGCTCCTTGACTGCTGACGTCACCCATTCAGCTTTGTTTTTATCACGTTTACTATACAAGAGGAGAGTATTTTCTGTTTCTATGGCTCATACCATCCTTAAATGGGTTCACAGTGTTCTGCCTTTAGATAGTAACCCTTTAGACGCCGGGATTTGCAAGAAGCTTGTTGAGGCGGACAAACGATCAAGGCCTGAACCAATCAAGAAGAAGGAGCCAGTCTCCTTAGCATTAATTTGATCTATTGTTTCTACTTACGCTGACGAGCGTGCTTATCACAAAAGCCTAAGGTTTGCAACGATGTGTGTTTTATCTTTCGCTGGTCTCTTTCGTCCAAATGAGCTTCTCAACATCCGGGGTTGTCATATTACAGTTTTGTCAGATCATGTTATTATTGGGCTCCCCGACGCCATGACGTATACAGAGAAGGCCAGGATGTATTTAAACATAAGGCCGCAAATTCTACCTGACCATATCACTTGCTGTTAAGTATTTGGAAGTGCTAATATTGTCATTTCTTTAACTCCAGAGTGTTTTTGTTTAGGAACGTTGGAAATCTGACCTAGTCAAAGACGTGTATATTAAGGAACCTTTTCGGGAGAGGCTCATGTTGCTCAAAGCACTGGACTTTAGTTTTCTTTTCAGTTGATGTATTTTCTTAACCATTCATGAGCTTGGAATAAACTTTACCGTAGGTGCTTGTTCTACCTAACACAAGTTACCCAACCTGTATCTGCTGTGTTTTCTCTTTTTGACGCTTGTTTTTTGTTCTCAGTCCAAATTACAAGGAAAGTATTGTTCATTCGGACGAACCTCGTGAGGAAGAATGAAAATGATACTTTTCCAAATGTTAACTATTCCAGATGCTTAGTCTGGGCAAGACAAAATAAACTTAGTAGAAACATTGCCTTGACGACATGACTTTCTCGTTCTCTCGGGGCGCCTTATTTGGCTGCTGGGTTTAATTCGTCTCGAACAGCCGTTTTCAGAATCCACTGTGACAAGAATAATTCTTTGTACGTGATTAAACTATGAAGACCGTCTATAAAAGTGACTAAATTATTTGCGTTCAAACACTGTATAGATCTTTTGAAGGCATTGCTTTTGGCAAAAACCATATGCAAAGGACATTGTTCTCTCTTGATGTGTTCCACAACACCTCACTGTCAAGGCAACTTGTTTAAATCTCCCCTACCCCTCCCAGACAGTGTCAAATTTCACACCGGCCCCAATATCGCTGATGTCACATTCTCGCCTCCCTGGGGGAGAGGCCAGTTCCGATAAAACTAATTCTAACTTGGCTCCGAGGCTTGGGGGAATAAACAAAAAGAAATTAACTATTCATCCCTCAACCTCCATGTTATTTCTTTTGTTTTATTCCCCCAAACCTCGACACCAAGTTAGAATTTTAACCTATCGAAAATCCCCAATTGGTGAAACGCCCGGCCGGGGTATGCCTGGAAACGATATTGCTTCTAAATATTTGATCGATACACGTTCACTATTCTTGTAGAAAACTCAGTATTCTCATATAACGTTAACAGCTGACGCGTTCCGTTCAGAGGAGTCCGCGCCATGTACGCAAGATCGCTATTACGGACAAAAACCCGCCTTATTTTCATCGTGATTGCTGTATGCGTTGGTTTGTGGATCACTGAAAAAACCTTGTATCCAAGTTCTTCTGTAGGTAGGGTTCAGTGATTGTACTACATTAATGCCTGTAGCCGTAGTTAGCGTACAATGTAGACAGTAGCGACATGGTTTAAGTGCTTCAAACTTATACACCACCTATATGATCCTAATCGCTCAAGCTCAAGACTGTAAACAAAGAAGTAAAACAAACGTTAGTTCAAATCTCCGCATGCAAACATGGACATGACGCTGATTTGCTCGATGATTATTAGGATCCACTAATGACTGCCTTTTAGTTGATTTGTGCCGCGTCTCTTCAAGTTACATTTTATTTTTGTTTTATTACTTTCCTTTCCTTGTATTACTGTAAATCAAAAAATGAGCTTTACCCCTCATGCTGCTCATTAGCACTGAAGTTACTCGTTTGCATTGTTTGCGCAACGCTTCCTCGGCACCCTGGTTATCCTGCCGTATTTGATTGGAATCTGGATTCAAATATGAATAATTCTTGTTCTGTTTAACTAAAAATCGAGTAAAATAGTGATTTCATTGAAAATATTGAGATAATATTGTCGAGATTCTCGCCTCATGACTTTATTCATAATTGTACAGTGTACATTTTTATTTTTACTATTTACATTTATTCAATTCTATCGTGTATTTTGAACTTGATAATGATGACATGGAGTCATCGAAACGTCGTTCACTGTCACTCGTTCAATATTAAATTCTGCGGAGAAAAAAAATGATTTTTTTTAGAAGTATTTTATTATATATTGAATGTCATTCACTTTTTGCACTTCGGCAATTGAAATTAAACTCTCAATTGCTACGTTTATGGCAAATTAAACTTGCACGGATTAATTCATGATGCAGAATTGCGCGGACTGTTATAATTGAAATTCCGTGATAGCGCAAAGCCGGCGCCGTTCATTTTCAATTGTCATGCCCGTAACTGGGATAGAATATCTATTGTATTGTTATACTATGCAAATTAATTTTCTTTGTCATTCTGATTATCATTCCTTCAAGTACAAGCAAGGTGACCAAGGAAACTTGCCTTCCTCAGCTGTGAAATATCAAACACTTAAGTCACTGTGCTCAATACAATATAGTTCCGCTTTCGTTTACCGTACACTTCCGAAAGTAACGACTCTCGTCACTTTCGGAATTAGCAGCATTTGGGGCTCGTTACTTTCGGGGGGATCGATACTTTCGAGGGGTCGTTACTTTAGAGGAGCAAAAAACGTTTTCAGTGCAGTTAGAACTACAGAACATTTTTCTCACGAAATTAAATAAAAGAAGGAAACTCGTAAAAACAGTTCTCGTTACTTTCGGAAGGCTCGCTTCTTTGGGGATTTGATAGCGGCCACAATCTTTTTACGTTACTTTCGGGGCTTTCCTTTGTCTGCAAGTGAAAACTGTGTATATTTCACAACGCCGCCAGGTCGTATTATGATGGCCGAGATTAAAAAAAAAACGAACAAACAAACAAAAAGATATTGATCAAGGCCGGTCACAACGTTTGGAAGAAGAACCTCAACACAGAAAAACACCACTTTCAAGGTCAAAAGAAATTCGTATTATCACTTTTTGACTTTCTCGAGGTGCGGTCAAGAAAAAATTGCCGGGATTAATCGCGGAGGTTGAGCAAAGTGACATGATAATTAAAATTCAGTATCTCTTACAGAGCCGCTATTTCAATAACTTTTAAGTTAGAAACCGAGCAACTAGGAAAAAAAAAAACAAAAAAAAAGAAAAACCAATGCTAATTCCGGGTTTTGACTTTCATCCACCATTACAGTCAAGAATCACTTGCGGTATAGTTTAATTTTATTTGAGGCTTTCTTTCCAAACCCTTTTACACTAATTTGTTAAAATTTCTAACGTCTTAGTTACAAAGATCTTCTTTCACTCTGGCAGTTGAAATTCTTTCATGGACAGATTGGGTTACCAAGGCTGGAGACTCACATTATACAAGTGAAACATTCACGATAAAACGAAATGAAATGTGAACATGTTCCAGAAAAAAAAGTGTTAAGCAAAGTTGCGGGGAGTAACTTATATTTTCTTTTTGCCACTGTCGATCAAGAAGAAATAATCGAGGATCTAACTTACGGTGACAGGACAAGATACAGGTTGAGCCTTTTGTCGCTGCCATAATGAGGGATGGAAGGAAATTTGAAGGCGGGATGCCGGGATTACAACGCGCCGGCGAGTCCTGAAGGGACCGGTCATTATTTATCGCCTGAAGTGGGAGGGGGATAACAAAGGATAACAAAAGCGGGGATCAGTCATAACTCTGAGAGCCCAAAGAGGGGGGGGTGGGGGGGGGGGGGGGGACGCTAAATGTCACAAGCCCATACAGACTTGGTGGACGGCTATTTAGCACTGTAACTTTGCAGTTTCTAAGCACTTAATTGGGATGGTTAGATAGGCCCTTTGCACGATCCGGTCACGTGGTGCGGAATAAATTATGCTGGGACGCAAGTTACACAGTGGGACTTCTAAAACAAAGGAGAGTCGGGTTGGACTGGTACGAGTTCCTTTGTTTTGGAAGTCCCACTGTGTAACTTGCGTCCCAGCGTAATTTATTCTGTACCATGTGACCGGATCATGCAAAGGGCCTATTGCTGATATGTCAACTGACATCAGTCACAGAGTCACAGTCACAGTCACAAATTGACGAGGGCGCAGCCCGAGTCAACGTTCACGCATAGAAATCGAGAGCGAATAATCTAACTGTTTTAGTATAAATCTACTAGTCGTTCAAACGTGATCTAAACGTTCTTCATAGACCCTTCGAAAACGCCAAGAAGCGGCCGTCATTTTGTTAACAAGCACACACTGCCACGCTACTCACTGTCTATCACAGAATAGATAGTAAGTAGCGTAGCCAATCAGAGAACGGCATTCGTGATAGAACGCTAGTAGATTTTTACTAAATGGGAATATATAACGCCGTTGTCACTTGTCGTTGTAGAACGGTGTTGACTTGGGTGTCGTTTAACCAAAAACCAAAGTAATCAGTCGGGCCAGTAACAAAGAGCACATACCATTCACGGAACAAATCAAAACTCTAAGAAAATACACGTAGCCAAAAAACGGGAAAACGGCGAGTGAGTCATGATTGGTCAGTTTAATTTTACTGCTTGAGAATGTGAATACGAGGGTGTCGGTAGTACCTCGCCTTCAGTCATTTCAATGAATAGAATTCATTAAAATGAACAATTCTACAGGTGGGTTAATCTCAAATTTGACAATTTGAAGAATGGATACTTTTTTGCTTTTGTTAATAAGTACTTTCAGGATTCACTTGAAGTCATCTGTCAAACATGAGCTAACAATTTACAATCAATGCAATCAGGTCATTAAAAGTGATAGAAATTGTTAGAGGGCAAGTATCGGTATCAGAGGTCTGACTGTATTTGCCATTTTTGAGGGTTTCCACAGGTTTTTTTGTATTTTTGCGCTAAGATTGTAGAAAATTTGATATCCTCGTGGCAGTGTACAAAATGGGGTTGTTCCGTACAAAATAGCTGAGGTGGTACAATGAGGTTTAAGTCTCTCTGTAAAGTCGCAGGAGAAACCTGAAAACTACCCCGGAAGATGCGTGTTGTTAAGTCCTACGGTTCTGTCATTGAAACCCTTCCGGTGTCAATCAAAGTCACTATTATGCCCATGTTCGTGGCGCAGTCCAGTCAACCGTCGGATTTAGTGTTTGAGAATGTGGCGTGGAGTTTTAAAACAATCGCTAAACGCAGTAAAGGAAAACCAGTGAAAACAAACACTAAATACTTCCCAGGGCTCAAGTTACAACAACTCGATTTAGTTTTGATCTATTAAATAAAACGGGTGTCAGTAAAACACAGACTTGGGGTCGGGGTCTCTTTTCTATAATTTTTTCTTTCTTTTTATCTTTTTTTTTTATTTTGTTTCTTTTCTTTTCTTTTTTTNAGGAAGCGCCTCAGCTGTTAAAGATAATTGGTGTGGATGATTATGTAACTTTCCCCGAATATCGTCCATCCAAGACGGAATCGCACGTATTAGAGTATTACTCCCAGCTGACAAAAGGCGAAATATTTCAACTTGGCCGTCTGTTTGAATTGGATTTCAAATTATTTGGATATGACTTCCCAGGCCCTTTAGAAGAAATCTGTGAGAAGAAATCTCTTACAACAGAAAACTGATTTTACGAACACTCTTCGTGGGGAAACACCAACGATTAACTTCTTAGTTTCTGTCAGGGTTATAAATTTTAGTTCTAAGTTACAAGCGAAAATTGGGAGCAAAAGACGCTGTAACTGATCCCGATCTTCATCGATCTGTATGGAAGAAGAGATCGGAGTATTGTCTGTACATTCATAAGTTACGACCTTCGCTAGCTTCTTTAGCCATGATTCCAAGCTGTCTGGCGCCGTTATACCTTGTCGGTAACTAGTAGCGCGATGTTTAATGGTTCGAGCGCAACGGGTCCATAACTTCACGCGCATAGTGCAAAAACCAGAGAGACACTTGGGGGCAAGGCAGATGTGTCATGTTGCTTTCTACGCAGACGGTATCCGACTTGCGAAAGATTGCGTGACGAGCCAAAAAAGCCTCTGCGTGGGATGCTTTCAAACACATCTAGCCTCGTTCTCAGGTAAAACGTACCAAATTTGAATTGTGTCGGTATATTACAGTGCTTTTTCTTTTGGTTTAATTTCTCAGTGCTAGTTTCATGTGGTCGTGGTTCATTCTTAGTTCATAGTGAATTTTGATTTAACTTAGCTTAGCTGCTTCACAGAAGAACCGTGAAAACTACAACGGAGAGATCTGAAGTTGCGCAACAAAAATAGCACCGCCGCATTGTTGACATTGAAGATGATCAACTGTCCGTGGAGCCTTGTGAGCACGCTCACTGCCTTCTCAAACGTGTGATCGCAATCTGTGCTGATCGACAGAAGGGAATTTTTTTAATGGTCGTTTAAGGTTATCCCCCAGTATTGCATTGCGCATCCCTACTGCCCATAATTTCACGCGTGATTAGCGCGCGCGTATTAAAAAATGGCGGCTTTTTCTTTACAGCTGGACCTCGCCATGGAGGTAAATCGTCATTTTCTCGCAAACGAGTATGGTGACCTATCATTTTTTTCTGTTGTTTTGAATTGAGTAATAAATTTCTGTGTAAAATAAATATGGACCAATTCTCAGTGTAGAACAAAAAGCAATCGTGACTACGATCATGGTGATATTATAAGGATTTATATGGGTATAAACAAGGTGCTGTTCCTCCTAAACGAACATGGGGACCCCTCATTTTTATTTCAAAATTTAAGTTCCTATAATATAAACAATCAATAGGCAAAGTTTCATAAAAATCTCAGTGCAGGTTCTATTTCAGTGGAATGAACTTAAATGAACATCAAGTAATTTAGTGGTAACATGTTTGGAAAAAACTCTCGTACCCAGAACCTTCGTTCTCCTTAACTAGCGGGGAAGCCAGCAACCCTGCCAAGTTTCGGCTGGTTGTATTGCACATGCCTAACGTATCTCCAATACGTATCTCCGGTCGTTTGCATTATTTTTAAACCAATCATAACTGACCCTGGTACGGAACTCTCGAGGGTCACTCATTTCGTAGACTACGAGTAGTCCCTCTTTCGCTTAGTCCGTCGTGCGTGACGCGAAAGAAAACCGCGAGAAAAAAAATGGCCGTGCGAAATCAGGATTTCCGCGGCCATTTTCTTCTCGCGGTTTTCTTTCGCGTCACGCACGACGGACTTAGCGAAAGTGGGACTACTCGTAGTCTACTCATTTCGTCAAGCTTGCGGGGTAAGGAACGAAGATTCGAGGTACGGGATTGAATCGGAAGAGAAACTGAAATTGACACTTAAAGCAGTCAAAATTTGCTAACTGTAAGTTCAACGAAGAGAAAATGGATCATCCGAGAAGTATTGGTGATTTTATTCACTTTCTTGTCTAACATGGTTTATTAATTTGTGGTCAACATATTACGTTTTGTACAACTGTCTGCAAAAAATGATCAGTACGCGACGAGAGTTTGAACATCTCTCTCAACTAAACCGACATGAAATCAAAGTTAACATTACTTATAATGGGACGTTTTTTAATGACTCAATGTAGTGGATGCATAGGACTATACAGTAACAAAAAAAAGGAAAAAGGAAGCGTCGCCTTATTAAGTAAGAACTCTCGCCTGACGTCACGACAGCCATGATGGTGTTGCCAAACAATTTGATTCTCTCCATTTTATTTGACAAGAAAGCTTTCCCTGTTGCTTCGGCAAATCAATAATATACCCCACTTCCCCCTTTGAAAATGGATTTTAGGGGCATAATTTTGTATAGTAAAAATAGAGTTGCAAACAATTCAAACTAGACGAGTTGACTATTTACACCAGCGTGGCTAGGGTGTAAGAATGAGAATGCCGAAAAGATTTACAAATTCTTTCACCGGTATTAAACTACCAAAAGTAAACTCTGTAAACTTTGTGTTTAAGCTGCTTTACCCCGTAACTCCTGAGATGTTTTCAACATATTTGTATCAGCATCGTAAGAACGAAAGTGTTCGCAATCTCTACTTCAAAATGAATCACGTGATACGTAGGCCTTTGTCACGTGGTCAACAATCGTATCTATGTAAGAGAAGTAGATCACGTGGGACACAAAAGAGTAGACTCGTGATGCATCAGTCCAGCAGTGGATTAAAGACCGCTCTTCTGAGAAAGTCGTGGATCAGACAACCAAAGTACTTATCAATCCCCGAAATTAAAGCCTGACTTGCGACGGCCACCACCACCGCGGAGATCCAAGATTCTTGGAGACAAATTTCCATTACCCCTTAAAGAGGATGATCCAACTTGACTGACATCTATGAGAATTGAATTAGAAGTTAATGGATTAATTAGTAGTGTCAGATGATTACTGGTTTCATTGTTGATTTACACGAGTGTACGGAAAACCCGAACCATTTCGACCTTGATACAATTAATCCCAGTACACTGCCAACTCAGCCAATGATAAAGACACGAATAACTGTGAGCGGTATGGGACTTATTAATATCCTCGGGACACGTTCGTTATTTACACAAATGCTTTACGAAAGTGTTCGAAAACGGTCCCATAGCTGACCGCGTCCGAGGTAAATTTAAAACAATAATTAAAAAAAAAAAATTCCAATATCGATAGAGATGAAAAGTTGCCACGAGCATAGGACAAAGGTAAAATCTGAGTCCCCGACAGGGTTTGAACCCATGACCTCTTAGATACCCGTTGGACACTCCAACCTCTGAGGAACAGAGAGAATTTTGGTGAGTCTCTCTATCGTTTTAAGCAAGGACATTTCCCTCAACCCAGACAAATGCAAAAGTAACTAAATCATGAGAAGAGAAATACATTGCAGTAACATACGCACCTATCGTCAGGTTATTAGGAACAAATGAGGTGGGCCGTCGTTTCTGTGTTTTACCGCGAGCCACCTGACGAGCACGTGATCCGAAGCCTAGACACTGCAGCGTTTCTGTGAGGAACCGCTGGGCAGGAGATACGCAGAGCATGACCAGAAGCTTTGCATCGCCACCTGAAGTAAACAAAGGAAAACCAACATATGATAGAGGAACAGCATGCGAGATCAAGCTGACACGCCACAGCGTTTGGTGAACTGTTCCTGATCGATTCATAGGCAAGTACAGAGGAAACTCAATTTTTCGAACCTCTAGGGAAACGAAAATTGGTTTGAAAACTCGGTTACTTTGAGAAATCGTGATTAAATTGCAAAGTTCGAAAGTGAAGAGAGAAACGACCTTTCGTTCGAGTTATCGGTGGGTTCGAAAAGTCGAAGGTCCGACAAATTGTATTCCATTATACCTTCAAAATATGACTCTCGCACCGGTGGATTGGTGTTTGCAAAAGCCCTCAAACGTTCTTGTGCCAACTGATTGAAAAACATGTACACGGCTTGCTAAGGAGCCAGAGATGTTAAATAATTGCGTTAGTGGTTGGGCTGCGTCAAACGCCAACCGTTTTCAAATTCGCTACGGTGGATAAATTACCTTCATCAGCTTTAAGTTACTAATTAAATAATTGTGTTATCGATACGATTCAAGCTTTAAAGATGATTTCCAGTCCGTACTGCGCGGTCTCAGCACCTAATGTTCATAAACATTTTCAGTTCTCACTCGATGGAATGCAAATCGATGTTATTCGTTACGAGCCACATTCCTTATCTTTGAGGCCTTTTAAATTCTTTTTCCAACAGCTTCATTGATTTTTACAGCTGCGCAGTTGTTTCAGCAAGTGATATGAGGAAGAACGAAGCAAAAAGCTTCGCATCCATAATGGCGGTTGTTTTGAAACTTGGAATTTACTTCATGGACGTAGTTGCGAACTGTTTACATTTTGTGATGTCTTACATAAAACAAAACAAAAGCGCAAAAACACTCTCGAGAGTGCACAATACGGACTGGAAAAAACCTACCTATAGTATCCTGTAGCATGTGCGTGAGTCTGGTGTTACGATAAGGTATGTGTGGGCGGTGCTCAGACAGTGCTCCTAACACATCCGCCAAGGCACTCAGACTATTGAATGAAACATTAGACACATGTACGTTAGACGAACGGGTTATATCTATAACGGGCCGAAATTAACTTTTTTCGGCAGGCGCCAACTGGCGACTGAAACTTTTTTTTCAGTCGCCATATGGAAAAATGTGGTCGCCAAAAAGTGTCAATAAAATTTTTCCTTCGCAGCGAAACACAAACCAAAATTCTTGGTCGCTACGGGCTTGCCGGCAAAATATTTGCAATCGGCGATGTCATCAGGAATCAAACCAGTGCTGAAATCATCTTTTGACCACTTTGACAGATCTACATTTGCACTTTTTGACGCCCACAGAATATCTTAATCTTCATCTAATTTCTTCGCGGATGTTCCGTCACCACTTTGAAATAAATTACGGAAAGATTTCAGCACATCTTTGGACACCACATCGCCTGAATCATGGCGAAAGAACGCATGGGGCCTCTTGTGCCCGCAATACGTATGTTATGGGAAACCGCTGAAAAAACATGGCGGCGACGCTTCGCACTGATCGTAGCTGTAAAACGTTGAGGTAGATTTATAATAACAGTCGTGAAAATCGGTTTCATACTTCAAAAGCAGCGGAAAGGTAAAAAGGAAGTGACAAATTGGTGGGCGGCTTTGAATTTTATTTTAATCGATTTGGCTGAAAATCAAAGTTATTTTTTGTGTAATTATCGTGACATGAAACAGTTAATCGTCCGCCGGGGGGGTGGGGTAACTTAACAAAGCTTAATACGGGGGGGGGGGGGCTCCGCCCCGAGGTCCAATCCCTTACCCTTTTATATACCATTTTGGCATAAAAGGTACCCCTTTCATATACCTTTTATTGAAAAGAGGCAGCCCTTTCACATACCTACTTTAGAACACTGCACCCCCTTTCTAAACCCTTGTAACGTCTATTCGAAGTATTTTAATTAAAGGCCCTTTTAAATACCTAAATGACCGATTACCCTAACCTTTTATCTACCTCAACTTGTGAAATCCCTACCTTTTATATACCTGAAGCCTGAAAAAGGTAACCCTTTCGGGCGAAGCCTCCCGTATAGGCCATTATAGGGAGTACCCTCCCCCGGATCGCCCGCTGGCGACCACTTGTGAAATTCTGGTCGCCAGTGCAAAATTTTTAGTCGCATTGACGACCAGGAAAGCGTAATTTCGGACCCTGTATAACTGTCTGTGTCATATGGGTTATTGACCAAGCGTGAAACCAAGATGTCTGGATATTGGAACGAGGCGGAGTGGAAGGTCCATAAACTCGCTAAACGAAACAACGCCAATATCCAGCCATCTTGACCGAACAAGCTTGGTCAATAAAGGATTTATTACATGGCTTTCTAGGAAATTTTTCTTGCGGGACGGCGGTTAGTCCCGAGCGAGCAAGATGGCGCCATCTTGCCTGTTCTGGTAGCCAATCACAGTGCAGGATTTGGTTCATCGTGCGCGCTCACGGAGCTAGCCATATAATAAAAGTCATTACAGATGATGGTGGATGACCTGATAGCTTAGGCTACGGACGCGCATGGATAAACGATGATTAGCTTCACTTGCGATGACTTGCAAAAAACACGCAAGTAAGACATGTGGGCAAAGGAGGTCCAGACAAAGCACTAGGGTCTGAGACATGTAAACAAGACATTCAAGCTGAAGACCTCCGGTGGCCTCAGGGGCTCTTCTGGTCTACCAGTGTGGGACCTCACCGACTTCGTTTTGGAGATAACATGCCTGGAAGAACACCCTAATTCTGAAAAAAATCGGGCTTTGTTAGCGAATAAGGCCACAGTGTCTGTAAGCCCAAAACTATTGCAATTAGATCTTTGAAGTGAAATGTTCTCTGCCAAATATTGTTTAAGTGGACCTATTAAGTGAATTTAGTCAACTGGTGAGATTCCTTAAAGAACAAGTTCGGATTTAGCGACCATAGTTTCACGCGCCTTGCAGCCGCAAGATGGCAGGATTCGATGTGCCGTGGACAGAAATATTGAACTTTTTTTTAACTTCCCACATTGATTTTTTGCTCATTTTTGGACAATGTGGAGATAATTGTAAATAAAATCTGTTTCTGGAAAGAAAAGTAGGGGTCACCGAACGTCCAAAATCGTTAAATCCAGGCAAAGCTATAGCAATGGCTATCTGCCGTATCATCGTTCATTTTATTACTTAGCGCGCGCTCTCATGCATGACGTGGCGTATGAATTTGCGTGCGCAGTAAGGACGCGCAGAAACAATTAGCGCGAACGTCCTTAAGAGAATATTTCGAAAAAGTAAGAGTATTTGGGAAAAGGAGAAATTGGAACAAGTCTTACCTTTTGTTAATATGTGATGTTTCTCTTAATGCAGCGCCAGTTACCCCAGACATGCCTGAGAGCAAATGAGCAAACAATAAACATTGAGAAAAACGAGTCAAGATAAAATACTAAGGAAAAAAGGAAACAGCAACAAAAAAGATTGTGTGTAGTACGTTTTTGTCTCGAAATCACGAAAAGAAAAAGGCTGATTGAAAGCTGCCCAATACAGTAATATTGATTCCATAACCAGGCGAGCAAGCGAATGCGTAGTTAACTGCAGGAAATTACCTGACTTTCACAGAGAAAACAATAACATAGCTAGCGAATACAGCCGCCTCTCCTCACTCTTCGGCGTGTAATCCAGGGAGGAACGAGGAGTAGGCATCTGTATTCGCAGGCCTGATAAACCAAAAACTACAGTTAAATTCCTTAACATTTCCCTGGCCCCCAAAGGAAATGTTGCTGCCTTTTTCTGATTTAGGGCGTACGCGTGGGGAAGTGAAAATCTTTTTCCCAGATCTCTTGTGGGCGAAGAAATCTGGGAACAAGATAAAAGAAGTGAGTAATTAGGTATCAATCCAAACACAAGACCATTCGCGCGACAAAATGTGTTTCGTTCTTACCAACACATTCACTTCCAGCTAAGTCGACAAGCTGTAGCTTGGTCTTGACACTCTGACTCTGATTTCCGTTAGTTGAGGAATTGTTGTTCCGAGTCGGAGAAGGAGATCTGGACCGAGCAGCAGCAGCTGTGCCGGGCGCTGGAGACCTGGGGAGTAATAAAGAACTTGTAATACATCTTGGTACCAACTTCAACTCATAAGATATAAATGCATCGTCCAGTGTTCCTAACTTAATCTTCTTCGCGGTGATTAATTGGATCGCCGCGCATTCGTTAAAGATGAATTGCGTGACCAAGCTAACCAGCTAACGCTTTAGTCTTAAGAGATCTTTTATTAAACATCTTTTGAATTTCTGTATCTGTTAGTTTACGAGTCGGCCAATCAAAACTGAAGTTCCCAAGCACGTGTGAAATAGCGTTTATTGACATAAAGCTACTGTTTGTATTTTGATCTCTCCGTATTCCAAATGAGCTTTGTTTTACACCGCCAAGGAAGAAGCAAAACAAAAACTTAACCAAAAACTTTATTGATTGTTTGTACGGAACGGAATGAACAATTGAAGAAATTTCTCATAAGTATCTTCTTGCGCAACGCGAAGCAAAGACTGCGTGAACAGACAAATGGCCGCCTGTGTATTACATACTCTTTTGGACAGCTGCAAATATCACAGTATCGATCAGAGAACACTATGCTCGTGCACCCGTGAAGAAAGCTGCACACAACACAGAATCACTTGTGGCTATACAATGATAACTACCTTGAACGTCTAGTGGCAGCTTTACTTCTGGGCGCGGGAGACTGAGATCTACTAATGTGCCCAGCTGACGGTTGGGGCAATGTTCGCCGTGATCTTGTCGGGGTGCCTGGGGGCGAGGGTGCGGCATCACTTGACAGTGACGATGATGAGCTCGGTTTCGCTTGGGTGATAGTGTAGATAGTTAACTGCACAATCAGGTGAGAGCGGCTGGAATGCGCATGCACCATCGTGGCATCTTCGTGTCGGCGTTGCATGCCGTAGTAAACAAGCGCCATAACTTCTTGCACCGTGGATACAGCTCTGAGAAATGAACAGCATACATATTAACAAAGCCAGAAAACTCATGACTGTGACCATTCAGTACATTTTCCCCTCGTGGATCGATCATTGAACAGAGCCATAAACAACTTTTCGCTTTTCTCTTTCAATCGCGTTTTTCTCCTTCTGTTCTACAATCCAGTTAGCTGGCCACAATTTCAACACCAAAATTGCCTTCCAAATAACTCTTGTGCGAGTTGTTCTCATAAACTCTTATTTTAAATCCATGTGGTATCTAAATCTGATTCAGTTCGACAATGCTATTCCTGATTTTTTTAATTTGATTCTCTAGTGGCCTTTGTCCCTTGATTCAAGTAGATGGGTAAGAATCCTTCAGCGGTTTAGTTTCGATCGCGTAGCCAAACAAAAAAAATCAAAAATTTAGCATGAAGAAAACCAGGCCTCTCTCATCCCAAGTTCAAGTTTCAACGCGAATAGTGTTGTTGATTACCTGTCAGTATGGCATATTTAGTAACCCATTTCAATTCAGCCCCAAATAAATTCCTAGACCAATCAGAGAGCCGTAAATACCTGGTTACAAGAGACGGAATCTCGGTCGCTCCCTCACTGCTTGTTACAATATCAAGCTGCAAAAACAAAAACAAAAAAAACAAACAAAAAAAAACATTACATCTTACATCGAATATGTCGGGACATCACAAAATAAACCACGTCAGCTTAATAAGCAAAAGAAATCTGAAAGAAAGGACAGCAACAATCAAACTACTTGTATTGCTCAACAGAGAGGATCTTTTTAATAGTACATGTTTTCACCTACAGGCCTTAACCAGTGCATTTTACTTACCCTAGAAGCGTTCTTTCCAGCCAGGAGATCCCGAACTTCGTTGTTATAAATCTCGCACACAGACATTTCCAGAGCGTAGCTTTCCTCGGGATTCTCCCGCTCGGAGATTAATCTGGAAAAAAAATCATCACCAAGAGAACATTATGGTATTAAAGTTGTATTTTTTGGGTTTGAATCATTGTTTGCAAATCCCCTTTACATATTTAAAATAGCAAGTCTTCTAGTAGACACAGTACATATTAATATTGGTACGTTGATCGTTACAGTGCTCTTGCGAGAAACGAGACCAGACTTGAGTGGAACGATACGAGTGTCGATAAAAACGAGAACGTCTCGAGAAAAACGAGTTTGTCTCGAGAGATGGTGGTAACATACTTTTGAGCGGCGCTACTGTACTGAAAACATCCTTAGGTCCTTTCTTCTCCAAAGCCAACTGGGTCAGCTTCGAAGCCTGTATTTTTTCGTTATTTCAACATTGTTCTGTTTTGTTTTTCACCTAAAAAGTTCGTTTTGTTTCACATTTCTTTCTTTCTTTTCTTTTCTTTTCTTTTTTTTTTTTAACATCGTGACTCTTAGTAAGTTAGAAAAGAAACTAACCTGAACATCTCTTTGGCTGACCGTGGTATGATCCCTTCATCTTTATTCAGCGACTCAGAATCAATCTCCATGTCCAGGTCGTGACTGCCAAGCATGGTATGTGTCTTACCAGATCCGGTCTGTCCATACGCCATGATACACACGTTGTATCTATTGATCAAGAGAACAACACGCTTATAAAACACAGCATGAAGTACAAGATGATTGCGAATTCTAATATGCTTTCCATTCAGACTGACCAGTCAAAGACCAGTAGGACTAACCAAGGGAAAATGGGACGACATTTTCCCATCAAAGCGGGCCAACCGGAGAGGAATGGCTGGAACCGTTATCTATTTCTTTCCCCACACCCCACATAAGTGGAATCTACCAAACAGGAGTACGGCAATGAATCGTTTTGTCAAACTGGAACGGCAAGTTTCGGTCCGAACGGTCCGACCGATCAAAGTGGACTGCTCCAGGAGTGTTCCCGAATATTCCGATCGGACCGAACCGAAACGGACCTTTACAGTTGACTTCCGACCGGCCAAATTTCCGGAGTTTTTGGCATGATGGAAAGTAGCCCTGGTCTCTGGAACGCGCTGAAACCAGAAATTTCGCCTCGAAATTCCTAAAACGAACTGATCGCTCTATGATGACGATACACCTTTCGGGGAACTCTCGAGTGTTCGCGCTATTCTCGGATATTGGATAATAAGAAATCGGAAGCTTTACGAGTGCTTTAAGCCAGCTCTAGGCTATAGCTAGACTTTGCCAAAACAAATATTCAAAACTACCGAAAAAAGTCCCTCAGGATAAAATTGCGCCTTTTTTGTAACAAGCATTCGGAAAAGAAAGTGCAGTAGCCTAGGTAGGAGGTGTTCTCGTACGAAAGAAGAGCTTTCTCCGCTTTCTGAGCGGAAATTGGGGCTAGCGGAAAAGCTCCTCTAATGCAAGGGAATACTTGCATTGCAAGCTAAAAATGCAGAAGATGAATATCTTTACTCTCCCCGCCTACACTGTAGATAAGCCCGTTGGACGGTCCGTTGACAGGGTAAGGAGAAGTTACACTGCAGATGGTAATCACTCTTTTAACCAAAGACAACTCACCTAAACTCGTCTTAAAAACTTCATCTCAAAGACGGAAACGGAGTTTGAGAAAGTCTGCGACTTACCCATCTAATAATGAGGTCAGTAGAGGCGCTACATCTTCAAACAGCGACTGTTGATCAGTATCAGGGCTGTAAACTCTCTCAAATTCAAACTCCTTTCTCTGCATCTGACCACCAACCGGCTTGGTAGGCCTCACCATGAGTTTTTCTTCGTCTAGAAGATCCACGACTCTTTCCGAAGGGGTTCCTTCTCGACCGAGGGACTCCTCGTCACCAGGAGAGTCCAGCCGGCTTATTAATGGACGCAGTCTGCAGTGAACCCTGATGTTTCCTCGAATTTCCTGCAAAGATGCACAGAAAATAGAGGTTAAAGCCCAGGGCCTTCAACAAACAAAACAGAAGGTAACAAACCCTTGGCAACTATGGACCAATCATAGGGCGTGGCACGCCCGGTCGGCTTCTCTATTTTGCAGACTTGACGAGTGTGTGTCCTTGCTGCTGGAAAATTACCATGGAGTTTTAAACAAATATTGCTAACACCAGTTTGACCAAGAGATTCCATCATGAGCCTGAGCCTCACATAACTGTTAAAGGCATTGCATCGTGTGTGTTTATTATTTTTGTTACTTTTTTGTACCATCGACCAGGTAGGGGAAAAAAATGAAAGTTTTTATTAAGTTCAATTGACTTTTCTTTGTTGCGTTGGTATTAGTTGGGTAATGCAGCCTGTATTGCACAGTCACATGTTTGTTCCTTGATGTAAGCCAACTAATTCATTGTAGATTTTTTTGTTCTTGTGGTTGTTGTTATTGCATTCAGCATAACACAGGTGTTCATTAAACTGCTACAATGAGGATCAGAAATTAATTATCCTTTGACAGCCACTGATTTTAGCAGTTTATCTGTATTTTAATATCATATATTGAACATTGAATTACTTTGTATTGGGACTTTATCTATAATCACATGCTATAAAAATACCATCCTAGGTATAATTTACTTGTATGTATACTCACTACAAGAGTGTTGTGTAATGTCATTCTCCGAGACTTCTCCTTGATGTACCTTTGACGGAATTCAACCATTTCCATTTCTGTCTTAAGAAGCTTGGATTGAAGTCCTAAAAACGTTATCAGAACTAGTCAAACACACCATCCAGACAGATACAAATAGCGTTAACTTTCAGGGAAGAGTTCACTTTCACCGGTAGTTGAGCTCCAGAATATAGCAGTACACATGCGGGCAATAGAGAAGAAGGTTAAGTGAAGGGGATAGATCCTGGTGGGAGATGGGAGATGGTAGGGGGAGGGCAGAGAGACTCGACCCGTCGAGTACACCGTAAAAGAAACTTTGTCAGCTAAAACTAGTGGACACCATAAGTGAGACCAAAATCCTTGATTTCACCAATAAGCAAGACAACAAGCATCTCGAGCCTTTTCATACAACAGTCTCTGCCCTTGGGGAAGGAGGTTGCATTTGACTAAAATCTGACTGAGCTGGGATGAGTAATTCAGAGCAACTAACTAAAGGCTGCTAACACTGGGACTATTGTACATTCAATTCACCAGTAAAGACCCTTTTTCATTACCATTAACTTCAATTTGCATGGGGATGATTATCACTGGTGATATCTGGCAATTATATCACTGGTAATACGGTACCATAATCTCTAAGGATCATGCCAGTGCAACAATTCGAAGAGGTTTATACCATACCTAATATTAGTTTTAACGACAGATCTATGTACAGTATAACTGTAATTCACATAACTGGCCCTGTACAAAATTTTCCAGCTCAAATGTCAGCATTTCTCTCAGGTTTTCTTAACTGGTGTTCAAAAGTGAGATGCCTGACATATGTACATGTAGACAAAGCCATTTATGAAGAAATTGATGACGTTTGTAATAAGACTGTTGAGCCCAATGTTCATTATACCTTCCATGCTGGACATTTTCTTGGAGCCAAACTGATCAGTGAGTTTTGTTGTCTTGTCCATTTCTTGAGACAATAGTTCAGGAAGGGCTTTTACTTTCTTTCTCAAGTCATGTAGTTCTAATTTGACTTCCTGAAATTATCACGAAAAATGCAAACCATTAGGGAACAATAAATTTGCACATTTAATATAAAATTGTAGATTGCAAAACCCATGTGATAAGCAATATTTTTGTCACAAAATTAAATACATGGCAACATGGAGATACAATACTGTACAATCAGCAACCAAATGCAGTTGAGTCACTGTAATAAGGTGCCGGTTACAGTCTCCTCAGTCTCCTATTGTAACATGTGACAATCTGTTATACATAACCCTGTATCCTGACATTGTTCTGGGGGTGGGAGACAGGGGTTTCATTACAATTTTCAGCAGGAGGACATCTGGTTTTCACAGGCGGGCAAAACCATTTGATCTCAACTTCTTTATAAGAAGAACTTTCCAACAGATGGTGAAAACAGGCAGGCAAAGTTCTGTTTACAGCTGGTCAATTTGCACGGTGCCTGGCCCATAATGAAACCCCTGGTTGGAGAGCAGGTTGATTTTAGGCCTGGGGGTGGGGTGGGGGGTACATGTACTCCCTTAGATGGGCTATAATGTGCAGCCCCAAAGGGTAGGGGTTTTCAGCTGTTTTGGTCATAAATAGGGTATCGACTTTGGCCATTTTGAATAGGGTATGGTTTTAGCACTAGTCTTGAATTGGGTAAAAACTATGTTTCTTGGAGGAAGCTACTTTTTCATCATTATCAATAATAAGATGTTTAGGGGAACTGTACCAGCCACAACAGTCATAAATGGGGTATCAAATTTTTGGCCAGGTCATAAATAGGGTAGCAAAAATCACAGATTTTGGTCATAAATAGGGTAAGGGTTTTGGGAAGTGGGCTGTACACCCCCACCCAACTTTTCTGGGAGTACCCCCACTCCAGAATTTTAGGACAAACTTGTACAAATGGTACAATCTCATGGAATACCCAAATGTGGAAAAAAGTACACAAAAATCATATACATCCTGTAGATAACAAATTTGTGTAGTTAGCTGATTGTTGACTAGAGAAAGGATGATTGACATAAACTACTTACTATTAACTAAAGTTATGTAGCTTTTAATAATATCTTAGCCTGCTCCAGGCTCTCAGCTGGCACCGAGTAAGAACAACCAATTATCCCCAGGGGTTTAAGGTAAAAACAGACTGAAGAAGAACAACCAAAAGATAAATTCTAAGGATACAAAGAAAGTCTACATATAGTCTTGAAAACGAAAAGGCTAAATTGTCTTCCGGTACTTGCTTCAGAGAGTGTTCCATGGCAAGATGTACCTGTAATTTATCACTAGAGTTTCTCAGTGTCTGCAAAGAATTCTTTCTATAACCCTTCTCCTCATCAAACAAGCGTCTGTAGTGTGTTGACTCATGTCGGCAAGATCGGACAGACCCTTGACACTAAAAACAAAATTAAATTAACCATTAGCATTACTCTGTAAAGCAAAGTTTGAGGGGATGATGACTGATGATTGTACATTAGGAAAAAAGTTATTTCAGTTTTGCTCCAGACTGCTTTGGTTTACAGTTGAACTTCCAAAAGCATACACCCCCTGGAGCAGAAAAATTGTCTGCTAAGGAGAGGTGTCTATTGATGAGGTTAAATTATATGGAGAACTTTTTTGTGTGTGGCTCAGGAACCATATCTTGACCTTAAGCTGTAAGTGTCCACTTACAGAAAGATCCACTTATGGATTGTGTCTGTGTTATACATGTAGCAGAGGCATTGTACTGTGTTTCAGTTCATGTGTCTAATTTGCTGATCTATATTTACCATTCAAAAGGGCTTCATGGAGAGCATCAGTATACAGTTGGCTTAAATAAGCGCACCAAAAAAAAAAAAAAGAAAATCACTTTCCCAAAGCATTCTTACACCAAGAGGAGGTTCAACGAAGGTTGGTGACCTTTCCTCTGATTTTCTTTTTAAATCAACATAATGTACATACAGTGAGCTTACATTGTAAGTCTGCAGAACTGGACATGTATTTCTTATGCTGGAAATTGTTCAAAAAAAGCAAACTTCGATTAGCACGTCTCAGATCGACTAATATCACCAACTCATGTTTCGATAAATAATTTATGGTCATGATTACTGTACAACTAAGTCAACGTTCATAATATTAATCAGTAGATATCATGCACAAAGTCGATGTGTCTGCTGTTTTACCTGCGCCAGTTTGAGATATAGCATTGCATTTTCTGTCTCAAGTGCTACGATCCTCTCCTCTCGAGCCTGTAAACGACGATTTACATTTAGAACTAGCTAACTGTTTCAGGCAAAATGCAAACCATTAAGTTTACGTAATGAAGGCAAAAGAACCACTCACCCTTAACAAATTTTCTAATTTCTGCACCCGGTCCTTCAACTGTTGATCACTCAGTTCCGGCATTTTATATCTTTTGCAGAAGAGACTGAGGTGAATATATAAAGTCAGTGCAAAATACAGGGCATTTTAACCACCGAACAACGTAACCATCGCGTCTATCTTTCTTTGACAACCAGAAAATGCAACCAATCTCTCACCAACTCTTTGTTTGTTTGTTTGTTGACGCTTCCGCGTTCCTTCTGACCAGCTGTTCTCCTTATGAGAGCTTCTCTATATAAGGCCATGATAGCCATATTAGGAAAAATAATTGTCTGGGAGTTAATCAAAGCAATGGTGGATCAAAACAGTCTCAAACTGTACTGACATGACTAACATGTTTCGGAGCCGTTCGAGATGCTTTGTAAACGGGTATGAGAAGTTTGCACGATCGTTAGGAAGTGTTGAGTATTTAAGGGATCTCGTGCAGAGAGTTTTGCAGCTGATTGAAGAGAGAAGTCCACCTCACAGGTCGAGTTGCGATGGTGGACTGTATGTTGGAGCGCCTGGCATAGGTTATGCTTTCTATTCCGTTGCAGAGAGCTCAGAGTTTTCTAACATACGGGAGCAATGCCTTGGAAAAGCCCTAGAGTACATGCAGGTGAAATGAAATTCGAAAATATCTTTATATACAGCTAAGCGAACTGCGCTTGATACGTGACGGTAAAATTATGAAGCGGGGAGAGTGTGAAACGAAATAGCTGGTACATTATTTATATTTCGATCAGTGTAAAACGCAGACTGCGTACTGCAGACTGCGGACCGGGGGTAAAATGCAGACTGGTGATAAAATGCAGACTGCAGACCAAGGATAACGGCAGACTTCAGGCTTCCGACTTGCTAGGTATATATCGCGTTATTTCCATTATCGTGTGCTGACCGTAAACAGGATTATTCAGGCTAATTTCAGAGAACATCTACACTCTGGTTAGCCTGAATATCTTTCTGGTACAGCTGTAAGACTGAATAACGCTGCGGCTAGCCTGTTTACGGTTAGCTCTCTATGATGGAAATGGTAACACAATTCAATTGAAAAGCAGATTAAAAAGTCTACAGTATGCAGTCTGAATTTGACCCTCAGTCTGCATTTTACCCCAAGTCCGCAGTCTGCAGTCAACAGCCTGGGTTTTACTCTGACCGATTTATACTTTGTTCCTAATTGTTCTCTTTCAGGTTAGCTTACGTGAAGTGTCAAGAACTCCCCCCAATGATGATGGAATTGGAGCATCCTTTCTTTTAGGGCATGCAGGGATTTATGCAGTGTCAGCACTTGTCTTCAATGCCCTAGGTTTGTATGTTCAGCCAAAGAGAATAAAATGTTTATTTTACAATTACAACATGTCATTCTAAATGTTTCAAACTGGTCGCTGTTGTAGGACGTCAACAAGAAACACAGCAGTGTATCCAAAAATTTCTAGAGATGGGAAACATCTGTCGACCAGTGAACTTCTTTCGACCTGGCTCTGATGAATTGTTTGTTGGCAGAGCTGGCTACTTATGTGGGTCACTTCTCTTGAACAGAAAGCTTGGAGGAAACGTGGTACCTTCAGGGGTCACAAGATCCCTATTTGATGCTATCATAGAGTCAGGTAGACAGTACTCGCAGAAACATCACTCAAAAAGTCCTCTCATGTACTCATACTACAGGACAGAGTACTTGGGTAAGTGCATAGTGCACTTTACTGGAACAACATAGATTAAGTCAGTTCCAGTACTAGTTATTCCATAGATTGGGGCTTGAGCCACACTGTATGTGTAAATGGCTCATTGGTGCTAGTAACTCTGAATGGGTCTAGGAATGCCACTTACCCTCTGGATGAATGCTATGTACACTGCAGTTCACCCTGTGTCCCTTGATGAAGTTTAAAAGGTTACATGTACCTCCATGAATGATCCAATGGTATTCAGTCTCACTCCTCGACGCCAAGAGTAGGACTGTGAGAATAACATGTCCGTACCCAAAAACATAATAGAGATACTCTGGCCAGTGTTCAAAACGCCTACCCAATCCAGAGTCCAGTTCATTAACCCACTCCTGCAAGGTAGAAATTTTCTTGTACCAGTTTCTGCCTCAACAGACTGAGTATAATAACTATTTTCTTGACTGGAAATAATGCTCAGTGTAATTTAATACTCAAGAAGAAAGACATAATTGGCTCACACAGACAAGGAGTGCACTAACCTGCTTTTCATTTCTACTATTACTGTAGGGGCTGGTCATGGCCTTTCCTCTATTCTTCAAATATTGCTCAATTTTCCAGAGCATTTTACAGACAGAAAAGAAGTTGAAACTCTCATTCAACATGCTGTAGACTTTGTGCTGTCCTGCGAGTGGCCAAATGGAAACTATCCACCTGTCCCCGGGGAGGCCCGTGATCAGGAAGATGAGCTGGTACACTGGTGTCATGGTGCCCCTGGGGTTGTTTACCTTCTTGCCAAAGCTTATCTTACTTGGAAGGATGATAAATACTTGCAAGCTGCAAAGAGGTGTGCTGAACTCACATGGCAGAAAGGACTGCTCCGCAAAGGGCCTGGAATATGTCATGGTGTGGCAGGTAGGTGTGTAGTGCATAAAAATCGAGGCACCATGGCCTGGTGTTGAGGGTGCTGGATTTGAAATTTGGAGGACCTGGCTTCAAATTCTCCCTCCCTCCATTAAGTTGGATTTGTGTTTACATAATCCTCTTTGTGTCTAAGTGGCACATACCGGTAAGGCCATAACCTATGCAGTCCAATTCTGTCTGTCAGCTGCCCATCATTGGACCTGGCTACAGGTCCAGTCAGCCTCTCTCAGTTCTTTTAGCCACTGATCTTCTCCATGTCAGTTTTGGCCCTCTTCTTTTCCTCTTCCCTGCTAGAGTTCATCTCATGGCAACCCTGGGGATGTCATTTGGGGCAATTCTGTTGATGTGTCCTATCCACCGCCATCCCCTGCTTTTGATCTCAACTGATAGTGGCGTTGTGTTTGTTATGCAGTAGAGGTCTTTTGATTTGTGTTTGGTGGTCCCAAATTCAACTCTACCACATCTTGAAAATAGCCAACTGCATTATTCCCTCTTTGTACTAAACAATGTTTCTTCCTTTGCATGTAAACTTTATTAAAATCGTGAGTTTCCATTGACTTTTATTGAAGCAATTTCATTGCTCTCTGTTTTAGGAAGTGGATATGTCTTCCTGCTGCTTTATCGCCTTACAAAGGAGGACGAATACCTGTATCGTGCCCAGAAATTCTCTGAGTTTATGCAAACAAAAGAGTTCCAGACGGGAGCCAGAACACCGGACTCTCCGTACAGTTTATATGAAGGCCTGGCTGGAACTGTCTGTTTCTATACCGATCTTTTGAGTCCTTCTTCAGCTTCGTTTCCATTCTTTGAAGTCTTTTAGTGATGACCTTTGGCATGTTATAAAAAAAGGCAACATCCTTAAGGATATTTGGAGTCGTCCAAGTTAAACCGGGTGGTTTTCGTGCGAACCACTTTTAACGATGGTTTTTGGCGTTCGCACCAATCTCGCCCATTTTGTTAAAAAAAAAACCTAGAACACCGAGAATGGGATTATAGAGAGGAAACAGAACTCTAACATAAGTTTATCAGCTAACACTTTCCGACATGCAAACATTTATTGTCCTGTTTCTTTGTAAAAATTACCTCGTTACTATCGAAAGAAACTGTTTGTGTGTGAAGAGGGCCTGGAGTGGAACCCGTCAAACAGAAAGCGTTTTGAAAACAGCGGACCTTTAGACTGTTAGTAGGTGTTAGTCTACCCCTAGGCTACCTCTGTGATGTACATTCCGACAATGTCGGGAGTTTGTGGTAAATGTTTGCCGTAGGTGGTTGCTCTGGAGAAGTGCGTGAAGAACGCATTTCCTGAGCTTACCGCGCAACAACCGGGGGAGGGGGGCAGGGAATTCAGAACCTCCCGCTTCCCGTACCCTGTTCTTCTGCCTCCTGCCCCCAGCACCCCCCCCCCAACACACACACACACACGCGCGCGCGCACACACACTAAACACAGCGGTGATATGTAAAAATGTGGTTGTAGTTCTTCGTTCGGTCGAGCAAAAAGGTTGACGCTTAAAGCGTCCACCTCACTCTAATAGGGAGTTTAAGAAAACCACGACAGTAGTGGGAACGCTAAGGTTCAATGAACGGAACAATGGTTGTGCACCTGCGTTATAATTCTTGGTACATTTCTTTCCTGTCCTCTGCAAAACAACAACGTGAAATGACTGAATTCTGCGTTGTACGAGAGCGTGAACAATTTTTTAAATTTTTATTTCTAATTTATCACTGTCCCAGATTCAGTTTCGTGATAGTTTTGACCGTGATAAACAAACTAAATGACTTAAGAGTATTTCGAGATTCGTAGGTACAAAATAATTTCATTTTTTAATTGATGGTGTCGTCATGCAGCGTCGCCGTCGTGGTTACTAGAAGAAGAACGTCAGTTCGTGTTGAAACTTAATACTAAAAAGTACAGACTGTGGCTAAAGCTGCTTAGTTTAGAACTGAGAACAGTTTTGGTTGAGTATAATATTATTTTCCGTTACAACGTACTGGACAGTACATAGTTAACAATGTTTGAACATGATTGCCTCTCCGCTTTTTATTACAATAATAAAAACAGATAAAGTTTTATCTAGAAAAGCACTCGTAAAATGAAGCGCATTGCGACTTGGACATTTCTTTCGGAATTCGTGACCACACTTCAAATGAAGCTCCTTTCAGGAGGAAGTTTCCGGAGTTTACCAAAGAAAATTTAAAGAATTAATTTCAACGCTTCGCGCCATTTCTTTTATATTCATCAGGCTAACATAAAAAAACTGGCACAGGTTGTATTAGAGCATAAGTTTTCATTCTGAAAATCGAATGAAAAGATCCTAATAATGATTGACTCAATCATAGTTAGGATCTTTTCGCTTGAAACGACCCTCTGAAAATATCAAAATATTGAGCAGTACTAACAATAGATAAGTCAAAGAAGATTACTGCTGGACGCGTGCCTTAAATTCCGCTCAACAAGAAATTTCTGTAACGGAACACGTATGTTTTCCCAGCAAAAGTGCAGCAAAATCATCAAAATATTGTTGCACATGTTCTTATAACAGAGTTATTGTACAAGTGAATATACGAAAGATTATATATTTGAACTGCGGAGAAAGATAGGAAGACATGATTGATCATCCCAGTTATACACAACTTAAGCAGTTGTGAAATTAAAGCCTGAAAAAAACATTCAGGCCTGAACGGGATTCGAACCCATGACCTTTACGATACCGGTGCAGTGCTTTACCAACTGAGTTTTCAAGCCATCTGGGAGCTGGTCACTTTGTGAGTTCGTAATATACCCGTAGATGGTGAAGAATACAAGTGAATATATGAAAGAAAATATATTTGAACTGCGGAGAAAGATATGTACACGATTGATCATCGCAGTCATCGCAAAGATCATGTGTTCGAATCCCGTTCAGGCCTGAATTTTTTTCAGGTTTTAATTTCACAACTGCTTAAGTTGTGTGCATAACGGCGATGATCAATCCCGGGTGATCAATCATGTCTTCATATCTTTCTCCGCAGTTCAAATATTTGATCTTTCGTATATTCACTTGTATCCTTCACCATCTACGGGTATTACGAACTCACAAAGTGACCAGCTCCCAGATGGCTTGATAGCTCAATTGGTAGAGCACTGCACCGGTATGGTTTCAATCCCGTTCAGGCCTGAATTTTTTTCAGGCTTTAATTTCACAACTGCTTAAGTTGTGTGCATAACTGCGATGATCGATCATGTCTTCAGAGTTATTGTAATCAATTTTG